TTTGCGCAGGCGCAGTGCGAATTTTGAAAAGTGCATTTTAATTGCCTGTATTAGAGGGACCTACCACCAAAGTTTCGTGCAAATCGCTCTGTAAATAAGGAAGTTGCGTTTTGTACGTTATACGAGTCCGTGCTGCCATCGTTCCGTCCCGGCCGAAATCGTAATCGCCGGTGGCCGGGCGTGCAAAAGCGTTTCGAATCGCGAAGACGCTAATACCGACGGTCGGGCGGCGCGCGACGCTCACGCGCGCAACATCTTTGGCGATCGAGAATTATTTTTCGTAATATTATTCTCTTAAAAAAAAAATTATTCCGACGCCGAGAAGCGAACGGCAAACTCGAACCGCAACTGACGTATGGGAGGTAAACTCGGATTCAGACGAGAGCACTTTTGACCCCCTAAAAGTGAATAGCGTTTTCCCATAATTACGGGACGGCGAGAGGACCGGACGGCCCTTCTAATTCGCCAATCTAAAAAAATTCCTGCGTTCCATTCGCCCGCAAACCCACCGTAAAGCCCGCGAACGGGAAAATCTTTTCGGTGCCCTCCCCCGCGAACGGGGGGCCCGGGGACCGCCGTTCGGCACTCGAACGAAGGGCCGGTCCTTCCCGAGTCCCGAGCCGGAGCGGCGCGCGCGTCGCGCCGCGCCTTCCCCCCCTTCGCGAATTTAACGTGGACCCCTCGCAAAACGCAAAAACTTCGGGGGGGCCGAGGGGGGGGAAGGCCTAAAGTTCGAGGGGCGCCGCCGCCCGGGCCGCTACCGCGGCCCGGAGCCGCGGCCGCCACAAAATTTTTGGGAAATTTCATCAGGCCGTTTTGTAGAAATTCGACAAAATCGAGTTAACGGGTTGTTTTCTTATTTTATATAACTAGATCGGATTGGAGCTCGCGTCGCTCGCTCCTACCGATCACGGCGTTTTGTTATCACACGCCGTTTTTTGTGGTTTTCCGTTTGTAAATTTTTTTTTTAACTCGATCGTTGTGCGATTTTGTAGTTTGGGTTGTTTTTAATTGACGTCGGAATTTTTTAAAATGCGAAAAAGAAAGGAAAAGGATTTTGATTCGGCTCAAAAAAGCACCAATATATTGATTTTTTTTTAAATCAAACTCGGCGTATGTGTTTGTAAAAATGCTACGCATTTTAAGACTTCGCTAGAGTGAGTATATTTTGCAGAGATATCGCCAAAAAGGAGGATACGTTTTTTGGAACATCACCTATACAAAGTAAATTTTTTAAAATTTCGATTCAACTTGTAAAATCCAGATCCGCACATAATTGTACATAAGATTATTTAATTTTGATAACACTTTTTGGTTTTGAGGAGACATCCGCTCGGCTCCGGCGGCTTTGCCGCCTCGCCTCACTCTGATTCGTAACGGTGCATAGCTCGGCTTCGCCTCGCACTGTTCAGTGCTCAACAAAGATAATTTCTCAGTTTCAATTTTGGTGCGGTAAGAAAATGCCGAAACTAATGTCAGCGAATCAGTATTTTGTTATAGAACTACGTTTTCGCAAGGATCTCCGTTTTTTTATTAAGTTTAGATGAATGACGGGAAAGGTGGGCGCGTGTAGGGCCGTAAGTAAGCGTCGTTTGCCGCCGCGAACGGGGAAAGCCGGGTCTACGGGAGAGCCCTCGTGAAGCTCAACTCGCCTTCGGCTCGCTCGACATTGATGGAGGAAAAATGCGAGCCGTTTTCGTCGCGAGAACGGCGAGCTCGAGTTATGCCGAGTCGAGAATCTTTGTTTGAATTTGTAAAAAAGTTAAAAAAAAATTCCTAAATCTACAAATAACCTAATGCCCCAAGCTAAGGGAGGGCCAAAGTGATGCCGAACTCGCCTTCGGCTCGCTCGGCATTGGTATACGAGGCGCGTGTGTTAAGAATCGAAGTCTTCGGTTACTTTACTTAGTTGGGGAAGGGTTATTAAGAATTTTTATTTCTAATAAAGTTAAAAAAAATATCTTAAACTTACAAATAACCTAATGTGCAAAGCTGCTTGGTGTCACATTTTGTTTAGCTTCATTTATAATTGTTGTTTGAATTTGTATTACGAAAAAAGTTTAAAAAAATTTCTTCAACATACAAATAACCTAATGTCCAACGCAGATTGATGTCACATTCGATTTAGCTTCATTTATAATTTTTGTTTGAATTTGTCTTTCAAAAAAGTTAAACAAAATTTTTAAAAATCTTCAAATAACCTAACGTCCCAAGCTGTTTGATGCCACACCTTTCATTTTCAGTTTTTTAAAGAAGTCTATATAAAATATGTAGGTATAAAAAACCTCGCATTGTTCAGTGTTCAACAACGACAATTTCTCAGTTTCAGTTTTGGCGTGGTAAGAACATGCTACTAAGCAGACTGATTTGATAATTTTTTTGAATTTGTGAGTAATATTTTTGTTTTTTTTTTGTGGAAACAACACCTATACAAAGTGATTTTTCTACTCAGCCTGTTTGTACACTCGGGGTTGTTTTAGCCTCCTGTAGAACAGGTTCATCCTCATCGGGAGAATTTTCTTTACGATTTCTCCACGTACAGAGTTTACATGCTATAATAGAAATCCATGAAAATAATTGGATCATTTTGAGTGGTCGTGAGGAGTTTGTGTAGTATTCCTTATTTTATTTGTTGTTTATGAATGTATTAGGCATGGAAATATGATGATTTTTAAAATTGTTCACGATATCTAACACAATCCTTATAATATGTACAGGAAAGCATAAAAATTTTAAGACAAAGAAGTTTTTACAATTTTGTTGGAACCTATAGTGTTTCGTAGGTAGTAATTCACGTGCCTTTCCATAGGAGATTCTTTACAAATGGACTTCATCCTCAAGCAAGTATTGGATAACTTAAGGTGCTGTATATTACAGTATCGTGTCCTTCAATGGTAATAAGTATATTTGAAGTACGAGCTTTTATACCTTTTTATAATGATATCGTAGTTCGCTGTTTGGACCAAGTGGTAATAGGTGGTCGCTTTAATACTAGTAGACTATGTGGACATGTAGAAATAAAAGTGGAAGGTAACGAACTAAAACTAATCCTTCGCTACCTTCCTAAGCATGAATATTTCATGTGACGAAATGCTTTCGTTTCCGCTAGAATCTTGGACATACTTTTTGCTCTAACCGGAATATAAACTGATGAATAACCTCCTATAGGACTTCTTCTTGAAGAACACGGATAATTTGTTACATCAATAATAAATTTTCATACCATTTCTATCGTAAATGTCTTTATGCTACGTAGCAACATGCACATCGGCATGAATTTTTGGTCGACATCAAGTCGATTACTCGAAATTGTGCAAATGTAGGTTTGTTTACGATGACATTTTCATAACAACGATAAAACACGTTAAATTTCCTTAAAAATGGTGTTTTTTACATAAAATAGTAATGTCCCAGATTTTTTGACAGTTCCCGTGACAGTTGTATAGATGGCGCCATTTGAAAAAAATACATCTTCTGTATCGGCGCATGCCCAATATAACCGTTCAAATAATACCACATTTCAACCGCGTAGGTTCATTTGAACGTTGCGGCGGTTCCTATTTTCTTAGGAAGTAGTGCTTTTTTGCGCAACTTCCATTGGGGAGTATTCCCTGACGTGTACCACGGCGTACTGCGTTGAGGGGTGTACACGTAGTGTATAATACTTCCCTAACAACAACATAGTTCCCTTTCAGCTCATTTTTCGGATAGGGTGTTTTGTTTAGGTCATTTCCGCTGATAGTTCCGCTTTCTCCGCTCGTTCGAGGAAAGATAGTGTTTGGATGTTAGTTAGTTGGCTTAGGTTAGGGGGCTAATAAACCAATAAACCGAATGCTCCATTCTAAAAAACAGTTTTCATCAATCTGACAATAGAATCACATTTATACATACCTAGTCTAAGAATTTTAGCATTACGGGGGAACTCAGAGCCGCCCCCTTCAACTTCTTCGGTGGCCCCATACCGATGTCGAACTGAAGGTAACCTGAAATCCTATTAACAAAAGATTTTTTAATTTCATTTTTGCTAGGAATTTGTCACTTTACAAGATAAATTAAACGATAAAAGAGGGTAAAATGATCCCACGAAGATCCCAATTCCACGAGGTGGAAGAATGTCTTCGAAATCTAAAAAAATACGTGCGCCATAACTTGATCGTTTACCATAATTCACTTACCAATAAAATAAACAATTAAAAACAATATAAATGGACCGATGAACGTAAATGAAAAATTTACTAAACTTCACCCAAGACGAAACGTGATCGCAATGGAACCTGGAAATAACGTGGCGCCACCGTCGTAGAATGAACTACCTTCGCGACGGGGATCTAAATATCGACGTGACTCCCTAATTTTTATTAAATATAACCTCTCGGCACGGGATTAATGCGATTTCGATTTTCTTCGGAGAGGTCAATTTAAATAGAGTACTAATTATGCTAAATTTTTCCCATTGTAAGTATATAACTACGAATTATAGTTTAAAAATTATAAAAGAAAATTGGCACAGACGAACTAACGTATTTTTTACAAAAAAATTTCCAGAACCTTTATTTTTCAATCGATTCGGACGGTGAAAGGTGCATCTGATAGCTAATAATTCGAGCTAAATATTCCCCATTGAACGTACCCGTCTGGCAAGTCTCTTAAAAAAATTATTACAGAGTATATAGTTCAATGATTTATATAAAACATGACAGTACTATGAAGTTAGGTTATAAAAAATTACTGATATTCAGTTTTTATTTGATCAAAATGGCGGATAGCCGGTTACATTCTGTGGTGCTATACAGTGCGAACAGTGCTTTACTATGCCGCTTCAATAAATAATGACGTTAGTAAATATTTGCCGCAATAGGCGCGGGGCACCAATACTAATTTATAACCTTAAACTTCAAAACAAATTAAACATTTGACATATGATTATATTTAACCCAAATAAAGATTTAATCACCTTGTAAGTTTCCAAATGATGTGAAATTATACGAATAGGAAATTGCTACAACAATTGAAACAATTTTATTTCTTTTACAAATCGTTAATATTGAAGTAATTGGATAAATCACATGTTATAAACAACTGTTCGAAGATCTCGTCACCATAATTAAGACAGGGGTCCACTCTTTTCTTTGTTTTCGAAGCCGGCATGTAAGTGCCGTTGCATAATGCTTCAAACGGTAGCTTCTATATCTGCTCGTAATTCGGCAATGGTGTGTAAACGGTTTCGAATACGTTGACATCTAGTAAATTTGCATGCAATATTTTAGGACTTTGCAAGTCCAGACGATGAGTTCTTGTAACACGGTTACTTTAAAGGATAGAAGTACAATTTTCTCCAGGCAATAGTGTCACACGTTCCGTATGAGATATCCGTTAGTGGGACAAATTATCGCAGTTGCTTTTTTCGACTTTGTTCAAGACGAGCAAGAATATCTTTTACAAACGCCTTATTAGCAATCGCTAAGCGGCCAGGTGACTTCCCAGAAGCAAGACTTCCTGTATGTGAAACCGTTCAAGTAAACGACGAGCATTTCGGCGTATATTGTTGTAATCCTCGTCACGGTTGACATCCGTTTATCGAAACTCCTGTATACACAAACGTATCGAGTACTCTCAAACTTCACTTTCATCTTTAGTTCCATTACGGAAACAGAACTGCAAACGCATCTTATTCTCTTCTAAGAAGTAAAAGGCTTGTCGAAGTAAACCTATTGCCTATTACACGCTACAACTAAAAAAACGTTTGTTTGTAATTTACAAGTAATTTACCCACCTTGTAAATATTCGAAAGAAACTGGTAGTCTTGAAAAAAGTCGTGTTGAAAGGAACGATAGTAATAAGAATTAGAAATTATAGTTTGTGAAATTATAGGTTATATTTTGTATTGGATAAATATAGAAAGTACCGCAATCCATTTGGCTCGTGTGTTAAAGAGAGAAAGCATAATTTTTGCCCAAAAAAATTCTAGTAACTTTAATGTTGGGGATTGTATCACCTGTTTAGAGATGGGATTATATTTATATAAAACATGACAGTACTATGAAGTTAGGCTATAAAAAATTACTGATATTCAGTTTTTATTTTTAAATTTTTTTAAGTTGGCAGCAAATTTTCACCAAAATGGCGGATGATTGTGTTACTTTCTATATCTAGTGACTTTAGTATATAGGTGCACATACACGATACCTGGTTGCGGCAAATAATTACTATTGTCATATTTTATAAGAGCGGTGCAGCATATATTGATCTCTCAGTATGCGCACGTGTGTAAATATACGAGATATCGCGTTTTAAGTGTTTTCAATGGTGTCAAATTACATATCGTTATATTTCCTTTATTTATAGTCCGATCTCGATAAATATTCAGTATTCAGAGGTTGGAGAAATTGAGGCACCCGTTTCCATCCTTTCGGCACTTCTATCTCCATTCCGAAATTCTGACCATCCCATCGATTAGATTACATCGAGAGCTTTCCAAAGATACCTATAAAGACCCGTCTACGACGCACCGTTCTCGAGATATCGCGTTTTAAGTGTTTTCGGTGGTGTCAAATTACAAATTGCTATATCTCCGTTATTTACCGACCGATCTCGCCGAAATTTGGTATCGAGAGGTTTGGGGACCAGGGCCATTCGATTCCGTCATTTCCGAGCTGGTATCTCAGTTTCCAAATTTCGACCCTCCCATCGGTTAGATTAGGTCGAGAACTTTCTAAAGACACCCAGGAACCCCTATCTACGACGTTCCGTTTTCGAGATATCGCGATTTAAGTTTTTAATAAAAAATCCAAAAAACGGTTATTGCGTAGATCGTCTAGAAATGTCGCGAAACGCGTGATTCCGAAGTATCGAGGTCGCAGGTCGAAAGACGACAGAGATGCGTCGATATCTCGAAAAGGGGAGGGGATAGGAAAAAATTGAAAATCCCATTTCGAGCTCCCGACCGGACGCAGCTACGGTTTAAATTTGGTCCAGATCGGCCGGTAAATAAGGGAGATATTAAGAGATGCGCGGCCCTTTAAAACGCATCCATGCGCGTGGACTTAGAAAAAAAAGGCACACCCCCGCCCCCCGAGCGACACGGGCCCCCCCTTCGGCCACAGGCTGACGCCCGGCGCCTACTGAAGACGCGGTCGAAATTTTTCCCGGTTTATACGTACAACTTCGGAGATCGATCGCGTACGAGTAGATACGGGATTGTATATATATAAATTGAGTATATATATATACTCGTTTGTGACAAAATTTTTTTTATCGACGTTTCGCGACCCGTTTGTTGTCGATGAGGGAAGGACACAATTTGGACTGTTGGCGACGGCGGCGTCGGGTGACGTCGACAGGCGTCGCCAAAATGCGAATCTCGGTAACGGAAAGTCGTACGAAGGCGTGTGAGGTATCGTTGGAAAGGTCTCGGCGGCGCGATTACGATAGATTAGGTTGAGCGCGTCTTCCCATCATATTTGACTTGGACGGTCCGTCGTTCGGGTCCGCATTTGAGCGATCGTAAGTGTTTCTTAGGTCGTCTCGTTTCCGCGGCGCGAGGGATAAAGCGGAGCGACGTCGATAAGGGCAAACTTCGCGCCCCCCTCCCCCCCAACGGCCCATAGTTTTTGAATGGGACCCCGTACGTCTCACGCGGGACGGTCGGGACTATCGATCGATCGCGTTTCGAGGGGGGGAAGTAGGGCTACTTTTCGAGCAATTTCGCTCTCTTTCCGCTCCCGTTTTCTCGTGCGCGTCCTCCCCCGCGGGGGGGTGTCGCGACTTTCGCGATCGAGTACCTCGAAAGCCTCGACCCTCCTACCCCCCCTATCCGCGAGCTCGATTTTTCCAGTTCGACGGGCGACCCTCGGCGAATTTTTCTTCGGAGGTGCGATTTTGGGGGGTGACAGCGGGGGGGTGAAGACGAATTTTCCCGGGGTAGCGGGGCATCGTAAAAATCGCGCTTCGGAATTCGAGGCTCGTGTAAAAATTTCTTGAAAATCGTCAAAGCCGATTTTAAATTATTTACGAAAACGTCGGGAACACGTTTGTAACGTATTGTAATAATAACAATGCCTAGAAACGTACACATACACTGGGCTCTATAATTACATATACATATATATAAAAATGAATTTTTAGCATTTGAGGTACCTACCTTTCGTTGAACCTCGATCTCGCTTAGCTTAGACGTAGATCTTATTCGCGCAACCCGTTTATCGTCCACGACGTAAGGGTGAGATTTCGACGACGGCGACGCCGGCGGCGCCGGCGCCGCCGCAGCCGGCGCCGTCGGCGCGCGTCGTCGGTCGTCGCCAAAATGAGAATCTCGGTAACGAAAAGTCGTAGGAAGGCGTGCGAGGTATCGTCGGAAAGGTCTCGGCGGCGCGGTTAGGATGGGCCGTGTTAAGTTTGGGCGCCGGCGGCGCCGACGCCGGCGCGCGTCGTCGGGCGTCGCCGAAATGAGAATCTCGGTAACGAAAAGTCGTAGGAAGGCGTGCGAGGTATCGTCGGAAAGGTCTCGGCGGCGCGGTTAGGATGGGTCGTGTTAAGTTTCGGCGCCGACGACGCCGACGCCGGCGCGCGTCGTCGGGCGTCGCCGAAATGAGAATCTCGGTAACGAAAAGTCGCAGGAAGGCGTACGAGGTATCGTCGGAAAGCTCTCGGCGGCGCGGTTAGGATGGGCCGCGTTAACTTTCCAACTAACTGCAATCTAACCTAACTGCGCGCGTCGACCTAACCTAACCGAGCATTTCGACCTAACCTAACGTGTCTATCTAACCTAACCTAACTGCGCGCGTCGACCTAACCTAACTTAACCGCGATCTAACCTAACTGAGCATTTCGATCTAACCTAACACGTCGATCTAACCTAACCTAACCGCGCACGTCGACCTAACCTAACCTAACCTAACCTAACCGCTACCTAACCTAACTACACATCGCGACTATCTAACCTAACCCAATTGCAATCTGACCTAATTGTGAGGGAAGGGGGGAGGGGGGGGGGTTGATTATTTGCGTAAAACCACCTTCGATTTCCAGATAAATAAGAAATATACGCAATTTTTTACAAATATCGACGTTCGAGTGCCCAAAAAAGTCACTCGGGGACCGCGTATTCTCGCCAAACTTTACCGCTCACCTAATCTCGTAGTGTAGAGTCGATTTTGGCAAAAAAAAAAAAAATTTAATTTTTCGTCAAAATTTTTTCGAAAATCGCCGTTTTCATATCGATTACGATTTAACGCACTTGCGATCCTATCGTGGGGACTCCGGGGCAAATTTTATAGAAGGTCGCATCCAAAGTGATCGTTTAGTATCGAAAAGTCCCCGGAATTCCACCGGCAAGTGCCCGTTTTGCGCCCATTTTCGTGAGCAATTTCATTTTTTTTTCCACGACCTCTCCCGGAGACGCCTTCGATTTTTTGGGGGAGGTGAAGGTGTCGTAGAATAGCCTCGTCCTTCCTCTTTCGATCGCCGCCTTAACCTCTCGAATACCTCGAATATTGACGAAATTACGAATTTTTTTGTAAAGGGGCGCAAAATTCGAAAAACAAAAAGCGCCCTCTAGCGTCGAAACCGTAAATCTTTTATTAGAATTTTTTCTCGTTTTTGCAATCTCCGCGTCAAAACGCATAAGATGACGTCGAAAAAACGACGATTTTTGACAATTTTTTTTTTCGATTTTTTCGAAGGAAGGGGATAGTATGGAAATTTTTTCGTTTTTTAATTTTTGGGATAACTTTCGAAGTAGGACTCGTATTTCGACGAAACCTTTTGTAACGTGTCCTTTGAGGTAAAATGCAACGTCCGACGTGTCGATCGATCGAATCGGGGACGTTTTTGAATTTTCGAGTTGCCCCCTCGGGAATATCGATTACGCGATAAAGTTTTGGAAAATTTCGATTCGAAAGGTCGTCTCCGTACGTGGGCACTCCGGAACTCGATATTTTACGTCGGTCGGGGCCGTCGACGCGTCTCCGAGTTTCGTTTGGCACATCGAGACACGAAAAAAAACACGTCTTTCGGTCTCGGCGGCTGCGCCGCCTCGCCTCGCTTCTTTGTTCGATTCCGGAACGCACACCGATCGATACGGAAGAGACGCGGACGTAGAAAACCGCATCGTTTTGGTCCTCGGAGTTTCCGAATAACCTTTAAAATACGAAATTTACCGAAGAGAAGAGGGTGGGGTGGGGGGGGAGGGGGGGAAGTGTCGGACGTAAAGTCGGAGAATACCGATACGAGATCGACTTAAAAAACCGCATCGTTCTAACCCTCGCGGTTTTCGAACAGAGTACGTTTAAAGGTTTTTAGGGGGGAGGGGGGGATGGGAGGTTAACGGAGTGGTGCCGGGGTACGTAACGGACTTCGAAGAGAATACTCCGATCGAAGACTTGCCAAAAACTTACCTCCTCCGAACGAAAATTGACACTTCGCTCGGCTTCGGCGGCTGCGCCGCCTCGCCTCGCGGCTTTTCGCGATTCGCCGTCGATTCCCGAACGCACTCCGATCGATACGGGAGATCGACGTGGACGACCGTCTCGTTTTAAGAGTCGGCGTTCCCTAATAACCTTTAAAATTTGAAATTTACCGACGATATGGAGGGGGGGAGGGGGGAAATGTCGGACGTAAGGTCGGACGATGCCGATACGAGATCGACGCAACAAACCGCGTCGTTCTAACCCTCGCGGTTCCCGAACAAACGTCGAAAAGGCGAAGTGGTACGTTTGAAGGTCCGGGGGGGGTCGACGGAGGGGCGGTCGGGGTGCGAAAGGCGCGTCGAAGAAAAGACTCGATCGACTTTCCCAAAATTCGCCCTCTCCTATGCCGCTCGACCGCCGTAAATATTTTTTATCGACGATCATTCCGAATCTCGCGATCGGGTCCGAGTGTCGTTCGAAAATTCCTCCCTCCCGAACCCACCGGGAGAATTGGTCGTATGACGCGTCGTAATCCGTCCGACGTTCGGGTCCGCATTTGAGCGATCGTAAGTGTTTCTTAGGTCGTCTCGTTTCCGCGGCGCGAGGGATAAAGCGGAGCGACGTCGATAAGGGCAAACTTCGCGCCCCCCTCCCCCCCAAACGGCCCATAGTTTTTTAATGGGACCCCGTACGTCTCACGCGGGACGGTCGGGACTATCGATCGATCGCGTTTCGAGGGGGGGAAGTAGGGCTACTTTTCGAGCAATTTCGCTCTCTTTCCGCTCCCGTTTTCTCGTGCGCGTCCTCCCCCGCGGGGGGGTGTCGCGACTTTCGCGATCGAGTACCTCGAAAGCCTCGACCCTCCTACCCCCCCTATCCGCGAGCTCGATTTTTCCAGTTCGACGGGCGACCCTCGGCGAATTTTTCTTCGGAGGTGCGATTTTGGGGGGTGACAGCGGGGGGGTGAAGGGGTGAAGACGAATTTTCCCGGGGTAGCGGGGCATCGTAAAAATCGCGGTTTCGGAATTCGA